ATTATAATATTCAGATATCGATTTCCACTTCCCATAAGCACCGTTTTTTCGGGAATATTCTAAAAAAAATCATGTTAGACAGTTCGAGGTCCTAATAATAATTTTGAAGGAAAAAAATGTATACATGTTCCAAAATGCATTTATTGTAAATACCAACAAAAAATGTAATACATACTTTACCTACTTATAACAAATGTACGCTTTCGCAGGCAACGGGTCAACATATGTTTCTCTCTCTCTCTCTCTCTCTCTCTCTCTCTCTCTCTCTCTCTCTCTCTATGGGAGCCAAGATTTAATTTTACTGATGTTGACTTGAATTATTATTTTGAAAATGCAAAACAATAAAAGGTTCAGTCGGTAAGTTTGTATTATAGTTAACGGGCGCCTGTAATACTTCAGCCACTTTTTTCAAATTCTTGCATTGGATTTTTTTTTTTTTTTTAATCTGAGCTACCCAATTCTCATCTTGTAGCTACAGGGGATACCCTCCCAATCGAATGGCTGAAAAAAGCAAGATCTAGAAGAAGAAAAAAGAAGGGAGGTAGAATCCTAATGATAGACGATAATGTACCTCCCCCACACCCTCCCCCTATTTTGTAGGCTTATCACATTGACATTTGATCCAACCCCCCCCACCCCAGTCCAGAATATGGTCTATTTAATTTTGATCGCCAACGCAATATGCGACCTCCCCCTACTTACTTGCTGCCAGCCAAACATGGCGTGATCATTAAATTAGGACGCCCGGCGAAAACTGGTGAGCGTACATGAGTTCGTTGATAACGCCATCTTCGGCGGTAGGGAATATAATAGGAAGAACCGGCCAGATTTTGGACTAACACCCCCACCCCCCCCCCCCCCCTCCCGTCTCCACGCAAAAGCCCATTCGACAACCTACGTCACTGCTTCTCATATAACGTTGTATATTGCCGCCGAGTTATAGGCTGATGAACTCGATATCTGGTAACCAAAATATCAAAACGTCTTGAGTTTAAGTGTTCACGTCAGTTGCACTCTTAAAGCATTCAATGCCTCATCGAGTATTTAGTGTCGCCAACTCAAAAGCCGCCGGTTTAAAAAATAATTTGTGGCCTTTCCCTTTATGCTTATAATGAGCGGTGATGTCATAATAAAATTGTTACATGCAAATGATTGCTGTTTATCTTTATGTCCTTGTACTAGTTCAAATATGACAAGATGATATTTCAGAAGGTTGGACCAAAGTTAGATGCAACATGATTGTATAGTCCCCATTAAATTCCCATATCTCTGTGCAATTAGTTTTCCTTGTCAGCAGGGTCATATGCAATAATTTGCCAAGCAGTTAAAATTGTTTTAGCAGTACGTAGTATGAATAGTTAGATCTTGTGAGCAGTATTCTTTATGAATGTCAATTCTGAATTGCGACAGTTACAGCTGGTCAGGCAATTGCAGGACTGGAAGACGTGCTTTTCGAGGATTAACGTGTGTCCAGACGTTGAAGGGGCACTGGTATCATGGGGGTCGTACCGGTCCAACTCGCTGGATAATATTTAAAAAGTAAAAAAAGATTGTCTTCACCCCCCCCCCCCTTCCCTATTCCTCTTTTTTTTCCCATCCTCTTTTCACAATTCAATTGGAGACAAGTGCCTATGCTACTGACTGCCCTGGTTTTAGAAGTAGAGGTCGCGAAGAAGGCGGGTACCCTATATTTTGGGGGAAATCCCTTTTATTTTTATTTTCCTCTCTCTCTCCTATTCCTCTCTTTCCATTCTCTTTTCACAATTCAATTGGAGACAAGTGCCTATGCTACTGACTGCCCTGGTTTTAGAAGTAGAGGTCGCGAAGAAGGCGGGTACCCTATATTTGGGGGGAAATCCCTTTTATTTTTATTTTCCTCTCTCTCCTATTCCTCTCTTTTCGCACTACAATAATTATTGGCGGCAGGTGCCCTCTTCCCCCTCCCCCGGAGCTATGCTTCTAATTGCCCTTGATTCAGTGGTAAAGGTGGCGCAGAAGGTGAGTACCCTTCGATATTTTGGGGTAGCTCCCTTTCATGTTCCCTTTCCTCTCTCTCCTAGTCTATTTATCCTGTTTTTCCCGCAAATTAATTGGATGAGGTGCAAACGTGCACCCCCCCCCCCCGGTACGCCCCTGCAAAGCTATGCCATTGACTGTTCATATTCTAGTGATAGAGAAGGCCCTTCGATATTTGGTAGTTACCGCTACATCGTGTAGGTTCAACTGGGATTTGCGGGCGCCCCCTATATTCATAAATATTCATAAAAATAAATAATATTTATAATAATGCTAATAATAATCCGGGTTTTTATTGCGCTTACTACAAGGACGATGTCTCAAAGCGATTACAGATATGTATTTATATACATGTATTTTATATACATTTATATATATATACGTATATATATATATATATATATATATATATAAGTTAATTTGATTATTTGTACATTCAACATGAATATTGGTTTCGCTTACTCGAAAAAAAGGCTCAAACATAGCGTATACAAAGAACATAAATTGGACACAAAACATGAATACGTATTGATGATGGCAAAATAATAGTCATACATAATATCGATTCTCGTTTTTGTATGGCGTGTTTCGTTTCCGTTAGTTATGTTATTCAACTGTCCTCATGCATATTTATAAATACAAATTAAGTACCTCTATACACATAGAAAATTAAGCTTTTAAATTCGATTGAGGTTTATCGGAATAAATCTGATAAATTGAAAATATAAATACTGAATTATATAGGGCAATTGATTACCGTATACCACATCGTGATAATTACTTTCACTAAAATTATATTACACTTATTTCCTAACGAAACATTACTATTAAAGAGAAGGTTGAGTTCTGGGAAGGAGTGAAAAATAGTTTGTGAGCGTTATCATTGTATTATGCAAGTGTGGAAGAACATCAGATAAAACATGTTCCCTGAAAAGCACGGCTCTTCAAATGCTGTAATATTCTAAGTATGGCATGTAACATCATACAAATCGGGACGGATTTTTTCGCCACGTGTTCGTTTAGTCCCATATACATCTTTCTGTGTATACAGCGCTTGTAACTTTACCAAGACTGGGCCAAATTTCTTAGCATTTTGATGATTCCAGAACCTTGCAATACACATAAATACTTATATGCTAGATGATCAATCTATCGATTCCACAACGTTTCGTTCCAAATGCAATCGCTTGACCAGAACTCAAACTTCTCTTTGAAGAAAAGAGCATAAACGCTGGGTAACAAAACGCGTTATATTTGGATGCATGCCCCGATTGAATACGGAACGAATGTGTTTGTAAATCGCTGTGTCCTACATCTCAATGACCTCAATCTTACCCCTGATCTGAGAAACTCATAGAAAGATAAATAAAGGATAATATATAAATATATATATATATATATATATATAGTTCTCCTATGCAAACTTTCCTCTGTGAAATGCATAATAAATTCGTTTTCGAGGGTTGGCAATGAAAATAGATAAACAGTAGAAACAGACCATAAATAAAGAAATAAACAGCTTGTTCGATTTTTTTTGAAGCATTATATTCAAAGACCCGGACAGCTTTATCTTTATTATCCATATAAATAACGTCTATAAACACTCTCAGATGGAAGATAATACCAATACGAAATATATTAAGCAACGTCTAGACATAAAGGTCGAATCTCAAATTTATTTTTCTTCTTCTTCTTTTACATTTCGAAGCGTTGCATGGGATCTTAATCCTGATTTTTCTACATACATCAATGCCCCCATATAAGCATACTTTGAATCCGGTCACGCTTCGAAAAGTTCGTGGCCTAGCATTTTGCTTCTGTTGATGATCAAATAAAGAAAGTACCCTTTATAGATCAGGGAGAGTGTTAAAAAAGCAGTAGGAGCAGTGAAATTTAAATATCAAGGGATGGGTTAGAGTTTATTTCCAAAAATTGAAATGAAAGGGCTATTTTACTTTCAAGAGACCTTTCATTTCATTTAAGAAATAACCTCTCTTTATATCTTAGAGACACTTTCTCTTGAGAGTCAAATAAACTCGAGAGCATCCTTGGTCTCCGCCCCGGCACCCCCGGCAGGGTCTCTGCCAGGCAAAGCTGTGTCATATTGTACGGATCTATTGGAAAGCAAAATAAGCCCAATAAATAATTCGTATATAAAATACATAAAACAATTATATATATATATATATATAATGTATCGATCAGATATGATTATTTACGTCTGGGGATCGACCTTTAAACGTCACCATCCGAAAGAGGTGACTCAGTTTCGTACTTGCGTCCTCGGCTGAATCAGTTTGTAACTTTCATTGTTAGCTGGATTACAGACGCCACAACACCTAGTGATAATGTGCACGAGCGTGCAATATAAAGACTCTTTTTCACGGTAAAACGCAAACATAGGTGAATTAGACTGCTCACCTCTCTTTTCTGGGCGTATTCATTGTCTTAGCTGAGCCGGAGCTGAGCGCATCCCACGCGAAGGCAATTTGAATTTAATCAAGACGGCCAGACTCCAAAGGATCGCAAATACCCTACATAATTAATATATAAGAAACATTGAATGTATTTCGTTCGTTAATGGAGCATATATTCACCTTCGAATTCGGAATTTCTCTCGCGCCATTATATTTCAACATCAGCCTGCGGCCTTGGGGAACTACAACATCACTCGGGGATATTCTGAATCGGTCGATTCCAATTTTTTTAATTATTGAACGCCGGAGCATGCAATATTTGTATAATGTTTGTGTGTGTGTAGGCTCTTTCTATGCCCTTCCTCACACTATAATGTTTCTTTAGAAAATGCCTTAGAAAAATACATGAGTATATCTCCCTTTATTCCCCCAACCCAAACAGCGTCCATTTGAATGAAGATATGATGTCAATATCAGTTTCTGAATCAAAATTATCGATACATTATATAAATTTAAAATCGTCACGGCATTTCTTTTCGAAAGTTTATGTAACATAATATTATGGAGGTCTATTAACATTTAACAACATTCCCACAACTTTTTATTTGTTTTTTATTTTTCTCATAGGTTTACAGCGAGCAAGCGTTATTGCCTGACACGAAATCACTAATCCATGACATGTACAATAAGTGCAATACAGATTTGTGTTTAATCCTTTCCCGCCCATAATGGCAAAGGATATTAAATGAGAAAAGGGTCCTTCAAAGCAATGACGCTGCCGGTGAAGCATTTTCTTTTAATATGAAAGTTAGCGCACATGAATTCGCAGAAGTACGGTTGTGTCACCGTGAGAAACGTGCGCCCTGCTAAATTAATATGATGACGAGAGTACGACCCATCAACGAGCGGTAGTGCCTACAACTTCACCACAAACAATTAAGCACTTCATCCTCGGCTCTACATAGCGCCAGTGTCTCGTGCACCGAATCAATCATGTTCATTAGCTTCATGCCCAGTGAGTCGAACTTATGATGGCTCCGATTGTGTTTTTGCTTCAATCACGGGTCGCCCATCTAATTCTGATATGAAACTACCATCGAGTTCACCGCGTCAGCTACTGTTTTGTCGGTGATTCTATACCGCGTTAGCTCATTTTTCTCGCGCATAGCCTGACATGGCGGTTGATAATTTCTCGGCGCTCCCCATGACGCTGGATGAAGGTGAAAACTTGGAAAGTTTAGGCATCCTCAACGCTACCATCATCATTGTAATCGCAGTCCTTGTCAACATCAGTAATTTTATAACTCTTCTTGTCGTTCGCTCCTACAAGTACGTATTCAATCCTAACATCCTGATCGGTGGTATAGCCCTCGTGAACTATGTCTCCACGCTCTCCTTATTCCCTCTCATCGCCTACGCGTATCTTGCTTCAGAGCCACTATCACCTATCATCTGTGAGCTCTTTGACGCCATGTGGGCATTCTATCAGCTTCTATCAACTTCCATCGTCACCTTAATGGTCCTAGACCGTTACATCGCTATCAGAAAACCTATTTTGTATAGAACAAGACTCAGCGGTGCGTTCATGAAGTACATCATGGTGTGTGCATTGCTGACTTCCATACCCTTATCTTTCACACCCATCATCGTCAAAATCTTAGCAGACGATCCCGTGGTCGAACTGGAGCGGGAAGGGTCCAGGACACACTATTGCATCGGATTACACAACCAGTACTACCACGTTCATAGGATACTTATTCTGGCCATCAACTGTGCTCATCTACCCTTAGGTCTATTCTGTTACATTGGATTCTTGCTGGGTGTACGGAATTTTGTGAATCGTTGGCTGGTGAGGTTCTCAAACCAAAATCCATCATCCGTGGAGCCACCGGACGTTGAGGCATCCTCATGCTGGTGCCGGTGCGTCAAGGAACAACCCCAGAAGTCGCTCTCGAAAGAGCAGTTGGTGGAACGAACTCTACATCTTATGAAGAGTCTCCACGTCAAACGCTGCACCAGGATATCTAAGACCATCGCAGTTGCCGCTGGGATCTACTATATACCATGGCTATTTTCGCAGGTAAGATGCTCTTGGAGCCCATACATGGCGATTTGTTCAAACAAAAGAAAAAACAAGGAAAGTGTTGACGATACATGTAAAATTGTTACGATGCCCAATTTATTGAGTTATGATCGGTACGTCTAAACTTTCCTTTTTTCAGTATTTGTTATGATTGATATACAAAGTTACAAACAATGAAAGAATGATGCCCCGCAATGAGGTAAGATTTCACAAATTTCTCCTAAATGGCCATGTCAAAGGTTACTGGATTATTTCTTACACCTTTACGAAGCATCTTTTACTCATTGAACACATCGCAAAGACTTTCGAAAAAATAAACGAGAGTAATTTCAATTTCCTTTTGTATAAGCTATCAACATTTCGTTCGGAGTACGCAATTCTTCATATTGTAATGATTGCACATTGCAATGGATGATGGACGAGAGAACTGAGAACGCTTTAGGTTGATTTTGTTGCAAACGTCTTTGTGATCATGTTATTGTTTTTCATAGTTTCCTATTTTCAACTCTTCGAGAAGGGCCTATTTTCTATATACTCTTGTGACAGAAATCTTACTTTCTACAGTTTCTACATCTCCCACATAATATAACATCGTATTCTGTATGACTCGTTAATTTATGAGCAGACAGCAGCCGAAGAGAGGCGTTAAAAGATATCCATCTCACGGCGACTTATTGATACGTCATTGCCAGATTAAGGAGATCATACCTTAATCGACTTACAGCTATAAATCGTCTACTTGGGTAAATAGCACTTTGCATACCCATAAGAGCAACAGAAAAAAGGGACAAATGGTGGCTTTTGGTAGATTGAACCATTGGCGACTTACAGGCGAGCAGCTGCCATGAACTTTCGGCACTATATGGCGAAGACCTCTAAGTTATAATCTCAAGGATAATTTCAAGGCCCAATTGCATTGCCTATACAGACCATTGGCGGATTATGTAATATGTCTTTTTCATGTTTTCACATTTGAAATGGATCGTACCATGGAAATTGAAATTGCCTTCAAATTATTTGTTCTCCCTTTTCCATCGTGTCTGGCAACTATTGGCGACTAGTTGGCGGGCAACCTACACGTGCTTTTCAATTTAACATAGACTTGGTGAATGTTTTATTGTTAAGATTAGCGCCATTGCCATGTATTCTTAGATTTTTCATCAATAGGCACGCGGTATGTTTATTTTCAACGATATTCCCACAAGGCATATACTAGAACAAGTCTTAATATGTCAAACTTTCCTCCAGTCTGTAATATGTATACTGTATAAAAGGGCGCTACAAGGATTTGCACGGTGAAAATCTCAAAAGTTCACGGGCAGGTTTTTATCATCATTGATGGCAACATCGGGTCCTGCAATATATTGTTTGAAAAAGAGGGCCAAAAGAATTTTTTTGTAATCACCATTAAAAAAAATTTCTAAAATTAGTGTGATTTTTTTTTTGCCTTTGTTGTGTACAAAATGAAAGCTTCTTTTTTCACTCATAGAGGTGAAACAACACACTCGTTTGAACTGGAATTTAGCACAGATACTTTCATATATTCACCTTAATGCTACAAATACATTTTAGAGATAAGTTATCCTGGCTCCCCCATTGAATCAATTAGTTTGTCTACTCCACACTCAATGCACCCCAATATTACCCTCCAAGTGATCTATGTGATGGAGTTGATGCAATTGAGATTAGAATATACTTTTTTTTGGTGGACAGTTGCTAAAATCGATTCTGATTGATCATTATTGATTTACCAATAGAAGCCATTGGACTATCAACAATCCATCGTTTCATAACGTGTAATTAGTTGAGTCTCCATAGACTGATGTAAGTTTAGATCATCCTCTTCATTTCAACTGGTTTCACAAAGATCGTAAGTTGAACTTATCTCTAATATGTTGGACTTAACAATTGTTGAAAGCCGTTAGCTTCTATGAATTTTGTTTGTACAAGTTATTTTAAAAGGCATAAAATGTTGATTCAAATCATTCACATTTTCTATTATCAAGGAGAGTTCATGTTCTTGATGTGGAATTTGTGAAAAGTCTACAATATATGAATTTTTGCTGTTGAATATATTTTATCTTAAGGCTACAAAATGGCTCTCCGTGATGTTTAAGTCAAACTTAAGAGTTAAGTTCGACTAAGGATCTTTGTGAAACACCCCCCCAGATCCAATAGAGGACAATAAAGAGCGTTTAATATATTGTATGTTCTTTTGCGGTTTTCCAAACATCTTTCTTAGGGTTTCCCAGCAGACTGTCTATTATGTTAATCTGCAAAAACCACAGCGATTGTACGTCGATCATGTCATCTTTAGAAAACATGCCTGTTGCAGTGTAGTGAGAGCCACGATATAATGAAAGGGACACGGGAAAACAGAAGGAAATTAGCTTGAGAAAGACAACAGCTAGGACCCCTCCGAATCCTTCCCTAAATGTTGGCCTTTGTAATTCACATTTATTCCACCTAATAAATCCGATAACCAACCCGCCCCCACTATAACAGTGCCCCGCTAATAACTATGTGGATTCATGACAATCGAATGATTGGGGCATTAGTGCATGGTTGACAGGGTTAACATTATAGAATTCCTGACACTTAGCAGTGATTGATATGCGTGGATAACATGGTAATTGATATTAAAGCCAAAGCGAAGGTTACATATTAGTAGAAGGCGATATTCTACTGCATTGTGGGTATTCGCATTTATGGATCTCGATGTTTAACATTTTTATCTAGACAATTACAAAATTGTTTGAGAGATCATATTCTTTTATATGAAAATATGAAAATCCAATGCCACACTCAACGACGGGGTAAAGGTAGTTGAATTCAATGTCCATATCTAGCGGTGCATTTTTTTTATAAAGCTGATCTTTCTGCCGCCCCCCCCCCCTATTTAATAAATAATTCTTAGAATTTGAATATTTTACCAGCAGTAGCTGTCCTAGCGAGCTTGCTAAAGATTGATATATTATAAATATGGTCTACATACTAACAAAAAGGGTAATAGTGAAGTAAAGCCCTTAAAGCTTATCTGCCATAGTTTACAGGAGGGATTAGAGCGCCCTGCAAGATCACTAGACAGGTGGTTATCTCATCAACTCAGTTCTCAGTTAACATAAGAAAAAGAGGATCATGGGGGACCAATGGTCACCGATTAGGCATTGTTTGTTATATAGAGGGCGCAAGTAGCTACAAGTAGTGCAGTGGGCCTTTAAACAAATTAATACCGGCGTGCACATCCCCCAGTTAATATGAATGCATTGCTACGTCACTGATTTAGGTCAGCAAACATGGAAAAGATCACCTCCACTTTGAAACCCGCGTCAGGATTCCCCGTAAAAATATATAAACAAACCATCGGCGATTCCAGGATTCTCTGACGGGGGGGTGGAGGCGGTGTTGGGAGAGGCACGAGTCCGCAAAATATACTCTGACGGGCCATTTAAAAAAGTAGTGTGGTACGGTATGTCACTGAAACAGCTCCCGTAGGATTTTTGTGCCAAAGTTGAATTTTTTTTTTTTTTTTTTTTTTTGCATTTTTGCATTTTTGGATTCATTGGGGTCCAAGCTATCATAAATTGATGGGGGTTCAAATTTTCCCGAAAAGACAACATTTCCCTATTGCGCGTTATATATGCCATTTTGGCGCCCAATATGGAACCCCAAGAAAATGAAGGAGGGGTCTGAAAATTTGAACCCCATCATTTTAGGCCAATTGGGACCCTTTTGAAGCCAAAACAGCAAAAAAAAAATCAACTTTGGCAAAAAAAATCCTACGGGATTACATACCATACCGCACTAAAGAGGGAAGGACAAAGTTTATTCGATTGTTAGCCTGCCTTTTTCACTCCGAACTTTTCTGCCAAGCAACACGAAATTGTGCACGATCAGGAATCACGATAACTTTGTGCTTTTTTCTTTTTTTTTTTCTTTTTCTTTTTTTTTTTGAGGGAGGTGTTTCTATTGTGGGCGTATTTTCTATGGGTACATTATGTATGTGCACTTTAGGTAAGCCTTGTTGCGTTTGTATTGCCTGCCTCCCGAATATGATCCTTAATTTCCACGCACACACGCGCGCACGCACACGCACACACACACACACACACACACACACACTGGATTTCATGCGTTTCAATCCATTAATGGAACTGAATCATTAATTCATGTATTAATTTCGCTATACGTGATCATGATACAAAGTGGATTATCTACTACAACTTTTTTTTAGAGAATCTGTTTTGCTGTTAGCTTGAATTTACGTGTTGCCGTCATTCAAATTCGTACTAAATAAACTCACACAAGCAACAGTTCAATAATACATGGCGGGGTTAACCTCTTAAAAAAATCACCTAAAACAATAAAACAACTGCCAAAAAAAGAAATTACAAAAGCGGAATAAGAGTACAAAACTTTCTAGCTCACGAAAGAAATGTATTACCACTATTTTCTATGCATTTACACATGCATTTAATTTTGCTATGGATGTAACTTTGTATACAGTTTCCCACGTGATAAGTGAATGAAGCTAACCCTTGTGAAGATATAGTGATAATAATACATACTAGAGAACCATCGTTTGCCCGCATAGTGTGAACATATCAAATGCATTTAGAACTTTCTTAGTTTGTGCACAGTGTGAACATACCCATTTTTCACACTGATTTCAAAGTGGGCAACTATTTTGTTCCCAACGTATGGTAATCCCAAACAGCTCGACCTCCATTCCTGTCAATGAATGCTTCCGTCATCTTACAATATGCGTCTTTAAATGATACTTCCTTCAAAACCATTGTGACGCAATAATGTTGACAAGACAATGTGACAAGCTATCTTTTTACACTGACTTCAAACAGGTACACTATTATATTCCCAGGATCTTGGAACTATTTGGTTAACCCAAACATCACGGCCTTCAGTATTGTAAATGATCTGTTTAAAGGTAAAGGCAAGTATTGGAAACGCCCAAATTACAAAAAATGAAATGGAAGCTC